AGAACTTATACTGATTTGTTCTAAGCTGTAAATGTTGATTGTACAGATAGTCCTCAACTTACAACAATTCAGGACTGTTTGAAGTTATAATGGTGCTGAAAAAGTGACTTATGACTATTGCAGCATATCCATGGTCACATGATCAAAATTCTTGGCAATTGACTTATATTTATGGTGGTTACAGTGTCCCAGGGACATGTGATCACCTTTTGCAACCTTCTGACAAGCAAAGCTGATGGGAAAGTTAGATTCACTTAACAACCAGCTACTAACAATTACAGTGATTCACTTACCGTAACAACTGTGGCAAGAAAGGTCATAAAATGATCAAAATTCACTTAGCAACTGTCTCACTTAGCAACAGAAATTGTGGGCTCAATTGTGGTCATAAGTCAAGAGCTATCTGTACTGCTAATACAAGCATTGATTTAGTCAATTTTTCTTGATAGTATATCGGTTTTAAATCTTGAACTTCAACTATAATTGTGATTCCAATGTTATATCACTTTTTAAAGCACAGCTTCAGTTGTTTATTTTCAATTCTCCACATTTTAGGTTTTTTTTTTCAAATTGTTCAGCTCCGCCTGCAGTTTTTTCACTGTTAGATCTATGTGAATTTTCCTTCTGGGTTTACCAATGCTGCTGTTATTGTTGGAATGATGACATTGACACAGGACATCAGTTTCACTCTTCTCACTTTTATATTTTAAAGATATGTTCCCAAATCATGTGAAGACCATCACAAAAATAACCTAAAAGAGCATAAAATATGCTTTTGCTGAAGATGAAGAAAATTTAGAAATTCAGAAGTGACTAAAAGTGGTTTATGTCATATATTCAGGAAAAATAATGAAAAACACTCAAATAAAAATCATAGAATACAAAGCCCTTAGATTTGAATACGATTTATGTGTATCTAACTTTTTCAGAACTGAGTGTTTCTTGTTCAATATTTACTAATTCATTTAAGAGAATCCAAAGTTCTTCATTTATACAGTATTTACTGAGCACTTATGAAATATTGAGGACACAGTATTTTTCACTGGAAAATATACTGTACAAAGCAAATAAAGTTGCATGTACACATTTGCAAGTACAACTGTTGTTTAAAGCCATATTAGCCAATATTTGTGACATCATATAGATGCACGATTGCAACTCCTACACTCTATGCAATTATGTAAATTTGACCAACATGTATTTTACATTAATAACTTTAGATGGAAAGATGGATACATATTGTACATATTCATCTTATGTACAATACAAATATAGATGTTTTTGTAAAAATCTAGTTTATGAAACCAGGATAGCAATTCATTAAATAGCACCTCACAGCAGCAAGTTTTTACTTTACTTTTTTTGGAATCATATAGCTTTGTACTTTCTTTTTCAAGTTTAGTTATTAATGGCTGCAGTTTTCAGCAGATCAATGTATACCTTTCACCATTAAAAGTATTGTTAAAAGTGATGGAAATGGCTATATAACTTTTCTTCATTCCTTTCTACAGCAAGAATATCAGCCATGTATTCTGGCTGAGTTTCATCTGCTCAGAATATAACATTAAAAATTCATTTTAATTTATCATTCACTTGCTGGAAGCAGAGAAGTGTTATATAATATATTAAAAGAAATGTTCCAAAATTGGATACATAGCAATAGCACATATTGCTATTTATGTACTGCTTCACAGTACTTTACAGCTCTCTCTAAGCAGTTTACAGAATTAGCATATTACCCCCAATAATCAATGTCCTCATTTTATCGACTTCAGAAGAATGAAAGACAAAACTTTGAACCACTCAGAATCGAATTCCTGGAGTGAGCAGTCAACCTGCATTACTGCATTCTAACCACTGCACGACCACGGTCTTACATACTATGATTTACCAATTATGACATAAATTTTGGACTTTATTATTATTAATCAGAGCCTGATTATACACAGTTAGGTACAGTATATCCAAATGTAGTTCAAATGTTATATATCTAATTCTCCATAGAATCAGCTGCTAATTGTTAGTTGGGGAGATCATATGAAGTAGATAATATGAAGTGGATGACCATGACTGTTTAACAGCAACAATTCTTGTAAGATATTTATTTTTTAAGCATTTAATTTTGCATTTTTAAGACCCATTACTTAGGGTAGGTGAGCTGGCAGTTTTCTGGAGAACAGCTAAGAAGTGCTAGCAATGGCTCCATTCACTGGTCAGTGCTGCCCTCTACTGGTTAGTGTTAGAGAACCAGTGAGACTTCTGGATTTTATAAATCTTTTTAATTTAATCTGCTTAATATTACTTTCAGAGTTATTTTTCAACATAGCAAAGTAAAGATGCTTCCATTTATTGCAAAATGTTTTGATCTGTTGTACAAACACAGTAGATCTGTATTTACTTCCTCAATTCTGAGGAAAGTAGGGTGAATGATCAGAACCAACATACTGTTTAAGCAGACATGTATAATCATCAGCATTAGTGCTTAATAATATTGGCGACAGTATTTTTAAGAAGGTCGGGTCACTATAATTAATCATCCAAATTCATTTGAAGCCAAGGTCTTACTTAAAACGACCAAAAATGATATAACAGTGTACAGAAGTTCACGTTTTCCAAAACTTTTCACCAGATAAAATGGGAAACATATCAAAATTAAAATGGAATAAGCTAGAATCTGCATTTAATGTTCCTTCCTTTCTAGGGAAGATGATTCCAAAAGTAGTTGGGCAACAGTGGCAGAGGATCTTGGAGGAAGCAGATTACAGGTCATCCTCGGTTAACAAGAGCAATTAGGACCAGAATTTCTGTCATTAAGCAATGCAGTTGTAAATGATGTCATACAACTGCATTGCTTAGTAACAGCAATCCTGGCAATTCCCATTGCAGTTGTTAACAAAATCCCACCAGTGACTAGGTAAGGATCCACCCTTATCCAAGCCATATCTGCTTTGGTTCATTTCAGCTCTGAACCTCAGTAGGATAAGGGACTGCTTCATCTCCCTCCTCTTAAAATCCCTCTACAGGCATGAATGGAGGCCTTGGGCAGGATGCAAGACAAGTCCTAGCTTCCCTGATGCAAAAGAGGGCGATGCAAAAAAAAAAAAAAAAAGCTCTGGGAAGTACAGTAGCGGTGTGCATTGCAGTGGGTGGGGGTAGTAGACCGTGCTGAGCTGCAGACCCCTTGGCAGCAGTAAGCAAGCAGCCCAAAGGCAGTTTTAAATATGGGTGGGGCCAAGTTGGCCCAAATATTGTTCACATATCCGCTCCTCTGTGGACTGTGGGAGATGATTGTAAACTCAGATAATTCCTTTCAGGACCAAATAGTCGTGGTTATTTGGGATACTAGATCTGGGGATTTTTCATCCTTTGTCTTGGTTGGAGTTGCACTTCCCCATTCAAGTTTGATGCACAATCTGGGAATCACAGTTGACTCAAGCTACTGTTCAAAGAACAGATGGAAACTGTAGCTAAAAGGTCTTTGCAAGGATTCACCTAGTGTGCTGGTTGCACACAATTCAAGATTGGGAGGCCCTTCAAATTGTCATTCATGCTGCTGTAGTCATCTCACAGACTGACTATAGAGAATGCAATGTTCCTTACATGGGGCTTGTGCTGATCTAAGACTATAATAAGATGACTGACCGACTGACTCCACATAGGGGTGCCCTTGAATACCACTTGAGGAAACTGCAACTTGGTTTCCAGGTGCAATTCAATATACTGGTTGTTGTACAGGCTTTTATGGCATAGGGCCTGGTTATATGAAGGTTCACCTATTTCCAATACTTTGCACTCATTTAGTAAGATTAAGCAGAGGGTTTCTGAGACCAAAGTATTTGAAAACTACTGCATTAGAAGTACCTACGGCTTAACTTTATCGGATGTGTACAAATGTTTAGGTTGCTTTAATCTGGATTCTGTACTGAGCAGGGAATTAAACAATGTAGCTTAAATGGCCTGTTAGAAGAAATGTCCATCTGGGTTCAGTTCCAAGTGGGAAGAAAGACACTGGAAACATGGAGAGTGCTTGGAAGGATGGTTTAATGGTGGACAGGACCACATGGTGTTTGAAGTCCTGGGCAAAATGAAGCACATGGGGGAGAGAGGGAGATAAATTTATAATCTCTGTTGGGCTTTGAACTTGCTTCCTGTTCCTGTGGCAAGAAATATATTCTGATTGGTTGTCAGACTCCCATGGGGCCATGCCATGGGGTAACTTTGTAGGTTGTCTTGAGTCCCAGGCTTGGTTGAATCTTGTGGGGTGATGTAATGTCCCCAGGTGATTTTGCAATGTAGTGAGCCCTGCTGTTAGATGGGTTAGATGGGTAGATGGGTAGAATCTTATCATATCCTGAGGGCCATGTCTTAACCCCATCACCCTAGAGCTGAAGGGTGGGGGGCAGGGAGCTGCTTTGTCTTTAAAAATATGTTTCTCCTTTTCTCATCTAGGGAAATATAATATTCTGCCTTTTTAATATTTCTTAGAATATTTAATTCTTCTAGGAGAGGGGTGAGTTCTAATTTTCTACAGGCCCAATTATTTTATGACATTTCATTTCAGAAAATAATATTGATCTGCTTGTTTCAAAGAATAAATTATTTAAAGATAAATAAATACATGCAGCATTTTCTGCAAAAAAAAAAAAAAAAGAGGGGGAGAAATTGTGCTGGAATGAAGATGATGCAAATATAGAATTTATTTTCTTGGACATTATTATTAGCAAGGGTAAATCTAAAGATGATTGATACTAATTACCAATTGTGTCTCTTGTCATACAGCTCGTATAACATAGCATGTGAATTTGATGCTAATTAAATAGCCACGACCTGCCTTCGTTAAGATTTATTTTTTAAAAGAGCCCCACACAGGCATCGATGGCTATAGTGCAAATAGACTCCGGAACTAGCAAACCGGAGTGCAAATAGTACCCGAGCCTTGATTCGAACTGCACTGCGTCGTGAGATCGAAGCGACTATTCGAGAAATGTGCAGGGAGAACTAGAGAACGGAAGTAAGCCTCGGAAGGGTTATTATAGACGTTACACAGCCGGTCTATGGTTGTTGCTGGTCTGGATTTCGGGTCGGTTAAAGTTGAAGGTATAAATGGGGAAATGTGACCGGGAGGGCTTCCTGAGGGGATGGGAGAACGGAGGATTTTATCAGGAAGTAGAAACAGCTGAAGACACATAAAATTAACGGAGTTAGTAAAGTGGCTCAGCGGACCTAGGAACTCCTTACTGGGGAATAGTCCGCAACACATGGACGAGGACGAGAAAATAGGAGTAAACTTCTGGGGTTGGGGAGAAGAGAATTGGGGTAATTCGTAGGGCAGCAAGTGCAACATTTTAGCTCTTTCTTTTCCTTGAAGACTGAAAACGGAGTAGCATTAGATGTCTATAGGATCGGTATCTTGTCAAGATTGTTAAATCGGAGTGTATGGTACTAAAAGGTCTTTAAGTTTATATATATATATCAACTAGCTAATCAGGCGAAGTGGAATTATAAAAGACAATTTAAAAAGCACGGCATGGAATCGACCATTATATTGTGTATATATAGTCAATTAATTTAAAGAAAAAAAACCACAATGAGGAAAATAAGAAAATGTAAGAATCCTATTGTGTATACTGTATGCACCAGATGTAAGACTGGCAGTACTTGTTTCATTTTACTCAAAATTCAGTTTCACTGTGTTCATTGAGTCTTTTTCTCAAATAAATATACATAGACTGGTGTATTATGGGTATAATATATCTAAAAACAATTGATGCTCACTCATTGAACTGAATTCCTTTTGGAATATTACTATGGTGTTAAGATTCTTAGAGTTGCAGTATATTTATATGGATGTCTTTACTGAATAGTTTATTCATTCTTAGGTGCACTTTATGTCAGTCTTGACAGTACAAAAAGATTCATTTGCATCTGTAACTCCAAAAGGTAAGGTGAAAAACCTCACTATCATTTTATAAATAAAAGTAGAAATTAACATTTATTCCGCATAGAAGATGTTCAGCAAAGCAAAGCTGATGATGGTGAGGAAATTTGAAAAAACTTTTGTTCTAGTCAAGAATTACATATTAATAATCCTTTTTTTCCTCTTCAGACATATATTTTCTTTGTGTAATATTGAATACTGAAAATTTGGGTGCAACTGGGTCTTAGTTGGCTTAATATTTATTCTTTATTAAGAATTCTTATATTAAGGCAATATTATGTTATTGCCTTAATTTAAGTATATTTTAGCTAGCCAAAAACACCCATCTTTTGTGTTGAAATACAAGAACTTTTCCTCCTGAATTCTATTGGTTGTTCTTACAGATATTATTGGTTTTATTAATAATAAAGTCATTGTATCATAATTACATAGACTTGCTTATTACATTTTGTGAAGCATAGATATATCACTGTAGATTGAACATTATAATAGCTCTTTTGAGTATAAAATTCTCATTAGACTCAACACGCATACGCAGAATTTGTAACAAAACATCTAATTTTTTGTTTGGCTATATCACACATTTGACTATATTTATTCAGAATTTCAGGATTGGATATTTCTTTTGTTTTCATAAGGTTAGAAAGAAGGGGATATCTGGACTGGTAACAATTAGTATGTGGAGGATTATTTGATGTGGAAGATTAGTTAGACTATCTGGAAGAAAACATTTATATTTTGCTTGTAGGCCATACTTACTGGACCTTTTCTGCTCTGGTGCCCCCATTGTGGAATTCCCCTCCCCACAGAATCACTTTCTATGAGATAGGAGGTCGTATAAATTTGATTAGTAAATAAAACAGTGCCTGGAAACTATTTCTTAAATGAAACACTTTCTCAGGATCCAAATGCCAATTACCATGTACTGTTTTGAATGGCAAACATATTGATGCTTAAGATAGGTATTCTTAAAATAGATGTTTTGTATACCTAATAAAATTTAGTAGAGTAGGTGAAGGACACAGTTAATTTTGCAGAGGTGTCTGCACGTTACTGGGTGTCTAGATAAGGATTATTTGCTTTCCAGTCTTTTTGTTTTCTAATTTTAGATAATCAGAATGACTACAGGAGCAGATGTCCGGGATATACTTGAACTGGGTGGCCCAGAATCTGAAAACATAGGAACTATTAATAAGAAAGATATCATCAATTCTGATAAGGTGGGGATGGTTGACTGAGATAAGTATTCAAGAGGATAAATTTCACTTTTGGTTTTGTTCTACTTCCATTGAGTCCTTCTTAAAGATACTTGAGGCTATACTTGCATGATAGTCTCCATCATGTGTTGTTTATTGCAGAGTGTGAACTATGAAATAGTGATTGTCCTTGACTTACTCGATTCATTTAGTGACTGTTTGAAGTTACAAGGGCACTGAAAAAAAGGACTTATGACCATTTTTCATATTTAACACCAAATGGAGCATCCCCATGGTTATGTGATGAAACTTCAGATGCTTGGCATCTGGTTCATATTTATGACAGTTGCACTGTCCTTGGGTCATGTGATCACTTTTTGTGACCTTCTGACAAGCAGAGTCAATGGGGAAGCCTGATTCACTTAACTATGATAATTCACTTAACAACTGTGGTAAGAAATTGTAAAATGGGGCAAAACCTACTTAATTGTCTAGCTTAGCAAAAAAAAAAAGGAGGCTCGAGGACTACATGTACAGAAATTATGTAGAAAATAGCAATAGCACAAAAAAGCAGATTACTTTAAACGTGAGTACTATACTCTTATTCGAGATCTTGCCAGCATGATTTTCTCTTGAAGGAATCTTGCTATTTCTGTCTTTGAGGGGCTTTAAAAGACAATATTAAAACTGAAATGCCTTTTTTTTTGGTGATACAGTTTTAGCCTTTCAATTCTAATGTCCTTATGTATTTGGATATTTATAGAAAATACTGTTTTTGTACAGTACTTCATTTTGTTTAATAGAGTCAGCACAACATTACTGGTACTTAGAGCTAGAATGCATCACTTGTATGGCCTCTAATTGATTTATCAGTCTGGATCAAAGATTTTATACTGCTTTTTTCATTAAGTCTGCATTTTTTTTCACATCATAATTTTGAAATCCATAGAACGTTTGTGTAATTGTAAACACTTCCTAGTGTCATTTGTATATTTATCTCCTGTTTTGTCTTTGTAGCTTTGCTTATCTTATTAGGCAAATAGGGGAACAAAGCTACACAGTACAATGAAAGGAATGGGTAAGAATATTAGAATGAGAAGGAATTTGATTGGTTTCTTTGTTCGTCAGTCAGCTGCATCTAGAATCTACACTAACTCCCCGCATCCTTGTATTCTACTTTTTAAGAAATAAAAATGAAGTGGGAAGTACAGGCTTTGGGAACTTGGAATATCAGAACATTATTTAAGAATTTTGCATGCCTAAGAAGAAAACAGATATAATATTGTTGTAAGAACTCAAAAGGCAGAATAACCAAACCTGCTTCTAGTAATTGACATTAATGCTCTACAAAGGATTGAAATAAATATTTTTTTTATTTTAGAAAAAATCCAAGAAATCATCAGAGACCTTAACATTTAAGAGACCAGAAGGAATGCACCGAGAGGTCTACGCACTGTTGTATTCTGATAAAAAGTAAGTGCTTTGTTATACATTTGCTCTACCTAAGTATATACTCAGTCTGCTTCCCACCTTTCCATCTTTCTACCCTATGCACGTACGAGATGATTTACTGTTAGGATTGCTCCCTTTATATTTAACATTCTTTTCCTTCTGTTACATTAAATGTTACAATTCAACAACAACTTTTGAAGAGACTCTGGGCCTTGGTGGAGAACAACCTGTGCTTTTCTGAACTAGATGCAGGGACAGATTCATATGTAACATGAAATCCTCAAGGCATACATGAAATTTGAAACATATCTAATACATTGTTTACAACAATTTCTGAATTTATTTAATTAAACTAAGCTTATTTGGCTGATGAAATTGTAATTTGGAGATATTTATAAAATGTAAAATCAGTTATTTTTTTCCAAATCAGTTATTTTTTCCCCAAACTAGTCGTCTTAAGCTACATACGTACATTTCTTAATTGTAATTAATTTCTTAATTAGAAAAACAGCAATTGACCAAAAAATAAAAATTACAATTCTTCCATATTATAATAAAAAGTAAGACTTGAGCATATATGTCTCCATAACCAACAATTCTAAACTCATATGGTGTGACCAAGGAAATGTGGAGTTTGTTTCTGAGATACATGTCTTCTAGGAAGAACAGTTGAATTGTATGCATGCAAAATAATAGTTTTACAAAAATGTAAATATTGTTTATAATTTTTTAGCATTTAAATTTTCTAAGAGCAAGAGTCTTATGAAAATAATACTGAACAGATTATATTTTAATACTAATTATATTGTCCTAATGGTACTATTACTAGTTAATACTTGATTTTAGTCAACAGCAAATCTCCTAAATATTATGCTTTTTATTTTATGAAAAAGGACATGATTTCCAAGAATGGTAAGCTGTAATTTTGCAAGAATTAATCTCTCAAAAAGATTGGACTTACTTATCCTATACTGTGAATTTGGACTCTGCTAACCTGTTACAGAGAGCCAGTTTGATATAGTGCAGGGGTGGGCAAACTACGGCCCGTGGGCCACATCCGGCCCGTTGGTCTGTCCAATGCGGCCCGCCCCTGAAAAAAAATCGCAGCCATTTGTCTGTCCAATCCGGCCCGCCCCTGAAAAAAAATCGCTGGGTGTGGCGTATTGCCCTGTGCCGCGTGGCCCCCAAAGCTGCAAAACAGTGCGGAGCGATCTAGGGGTAGGAAAGAAAAGAAATTTGCAAAGGCCCCAGCTGGGAGTTCGAAATCACCTTCGAGTGCGACCTCTCCGAAGGTGAGTCCCCGCCGATCCCCCTTTTTTTTCCGGTGCTTCCAGGCTTAAACTTTGCAAAGGCAAAGCTTGCAGGCTGGAGCGTCTTCCCGCAATGCGGGACTGGAGCTGCGCCGGCGGTAGCAACTCCTGACTCAGGGGGCCTCCGAGGGGAGGGGAAGGAGGAGAAGAGGGGGGGGGAAGGGGGGGCGATTCCCAAAAAATCTTGTGCTGACCCGGCCCGTCTGTCAAATTTTAAAAGTCAATGCGGCCCCCGAGCCAAAAAGTTTGCCCACCCTTGATATAGTGGTTAAAAGCACCAGACAAGAAACGGAAGATTGAGAGTTTCTAGGCCACATTTAGGTAGCTGAGTGATTTTAGACAAACACTCTCTCTTTCTCTCAGCCCTAAGAAGAAGGCAGTGGCAAATTACTTCTGAAAATGCTACCAAGAAAATCACAGTAATCTGTCCAGAGATACAACAGAACTCAAAACTGACTCAAAGGGGGGGGGGGGAGCCATAGCATCATAATATAAATATGTAAAATAAAATAGGAATGAATTGTTAGGGGATAATAAAATAATAATAAATTACTTCCCAATTCACATAACTACAGTTTTGTACAGGTTATATAAAATATATTGCTGTCTTGTCTTCAAGCTGTCTTTAATTCTTCTTCCAAAAATGTGGATTGGGCAATACATTAAACCTTATGCTAACAATTGATTTGATTTAGGCCTTGTATTTTTCTTTCAGGGATGCACCCCCCCTTTTACCAAGTGACACAACACAGGGTTATCGTACAGTGAAGGCAAAACTTGGTTCCAAGAAAGTGAGACCTTGGAAGTGGATGCCATTCACAAACCCTGCTAGAAAAGATGGTGCGATGTTCTACCACTGGAGAAGGGCAGCAGAAGAGGGCAAGGATTACCCTTTCGCCAGATTCAACAAAGTATGGAGGCTTAGTAAGAGTTATATTGTATGTGTAGGATTGGTATGCTTAATAGAATTGCATAAAAATCTTTAGAAATTGGTCCCCAATACACGCTGGCTCAGTGGCTAAGACGCTGAGCTTGTCAATCAGAAAGGTCAACAGTTAGGCGGTTCGAATCCCGCTTCTGCCAACCTAGCAGTTTGAAAGCATGTAAAAATGCAAGTAGAAAAACAGGAACCACTTTGATGGGAAGGTAACAGTGTTCCGTGCATCTTCGGCGTTTAGTCATGCCGGCCACATGACCACGGAGATGTCTGTGGATAGCGCTGGCACTTCGGCTTTGTAACGGAGATGAACACCGCCCCCTAGAGCTGGAAATGACTAGCACATACGTGCGGGGTGAACCTTTATTCTTTTGCTTGCAATGTGTAGTGCTAATTGCCATATCTATTTTTAGTGACCTGCTACTGTAATTTACATGACTGTTGTGTACTTTTGTTCCCACATATGCTCCACATCATCTTTTTTTGTCTTTGAATCTGAGGCATTGCTTAGCCAGCTTATTCAAGTTTAGTCAAAATGATGACTGAATTTAGAAACTATACAAAATGGTGGAGAGATGTAAAAAAAAGGTATTTTGAGGAACTTTTGCTTTTGGAAGAATTGGATTTCTATCATGAATTTCTGTTACATGCCTCAAGATGTCCCCTGCTTGATGGAACTATTATATGCAAGTCTTTTCTCTTTTTGGATAGACAGTACAAGTTCCAGTCTATTCAGAGCAAGAGTATCAAATGTATCTTCATGATGATGCTTGGACAAAAGCTGAAACAGACCACCTATTTGACTTATCGCGACGTTTTGACCTCCGTTTTGTGGTCATTCATGACCGCTATGATCACCAGCAGTTCAAAGTAAGCCTCTAATCTCATTCAGTCATTCTAACATGTAAGTGCTGCTTGTAAAAAGATGAAACTCAGGATGAGTTTGCTAGCCCACTTCTTTTATCTTACTGTTCTCATTGTCTTTTATCTGGGATAACAGTATACCCAGGAAAGCTTTAGTTTTACAAAGACACTTTAGAAGGTATCAATGTGTAATCGGTCTCTAGATATTATGACAAGAAAAATATGAAGTTAACACATATATCACTAGAACTCCTCATGAGTAGAGTTTATAGGTAAGGAGGATATCATGAAAAGGGTTCTGTTGACTAATACCTTTTATATAAATGCTGTTTTAGTGCAATGTGCTGAGTGACTTAAAATTTTAAGAATCCATTATTTGTCCAATGGTCATCCTATGGAACAGTAAATATTGAACATCAAATGAGAACTTATTTATATTCCCGTTGATGATTTTTGGCTCCCCAAATTATGCCCAACTATTATCCAAATTTTAACGTTAACTTTGGGATTAGCGTGGTATATGAGATTTGAATGCTTTTTGTTTCTTTGCAGGCAAAACCAAAAAACAATAGTTGTGAAATGTAAAACTATGAGATGTTAGCATATGCTGCAAACCCAGCACATGACCTACAGAAAAAATGTTGTCTAACTTACACAAATACCTTAGGGCACTTCATAATTTGATCCATCTTAACTGAATGGTCATGGAGAATATTGGATAATGTGACAAGAATTGCATCAATAAGAATTGCACGGATTAGATAATTTTGGAGAATAGTAGTTTAATCAAATATGGAAGCCTCAGCAGATTCTTATTCTTGTTTCTGATTCCTTGAACTGTCCATGTTACAGGTTTTCAATATTTTTCTTAAAATTTCAATATTTTTCTTCTTCTTGAAGTTACATATTTCTAAGAACAAATGATAAATGATAAAGATATTTGTAAAGGTACATTTTTTATAACATTGAACATTGGAAAGAATATGTACCACCTTTTCACTATTAGATTAATGATATTCACATTCTACATAAGGATCATATGTACCTTTTTACTACCAACCACTGAATCTTATTCTGATGATGTATCGGTGCTAGTTATAGTCATATAACGAATATATATGTTCCGTTATCCCTAATCTCTTAATCATTTGTATTTTTATTCCTTGTTCTGAACTTAGAAACGGTCAGTAGAAGACCTAAAGGAACGTTATTATCATATCTGTGCAAAGTTAGCCAACATTCGTGCAGCTCCAGGTACAGACCTGAAAATCCCAGTATTTGATGCTGGCCATGAGAGGCGCCGGAAGGAACAATTAGAAAGGCTGTACAACCGAACACCAGAACAGGTAATAAATTAGTGTCAGAACAGTAGCAATGGCCAATGGTTGTTGGTTCTATTATCCTTTGAAATCATTAACATGAATCCTCTTGATAATAATTAGTAACATTATATACTGCACTTCTATTATTTGAAGATCAGTAATTGTTATGTGGATATGAACATACTTTGTTGATACATGCTACTCGGTGTTTGTTTGAAAAGGTTGTTGAATAATGTACCGACGGTACTTATGAACATCTGCTTATTGAATTTGGCTACTTTTCTCATTTAAAGATGAACATTTGCATAATTATGCAGTTGTTAAGCATTGCCACCTTACTTTATTTTGGAAATATATTTTTATTAAGAGATTTAGGCATGAGGTTTCTGGCAACAGTTCATTGATCTGGTATAAGGTCATCAAATGTGTATGTATTATGAACAAGAATATAGATAAGAGAACTTTGGGAAGTTATTGAACCGTGGCATATAGTGCTGCAAGATCTGCAGCTTGAAAGGCTTCCGAGGTCTTTAAATGTTCTATAGAAAAGAATCCAAGGTCTAAAACATCTTAAGTATATGAACTTCTGGGTGGTGGAATGTGGCCATTACATGTTAACTTGCAAAATAATCTTTGGATTAGATATCCTGGTTTGCGTAGAATGAGCTTTGGTTAAACCAGTGGCATACTGGCCAGAAGGTGTCTAAACAGATTAATATGCTTTTTAACATTAGCAGGAAATACTGCTTGAGGTGTCAAGGAAGTAAGCATTTGGGTTAGTGGAATATTAAGGGGTAATAATGAGTACTGCAAATGTGAATGCCTACTGTGTAAGTGAAGGGAGGGTATGGTTTCTTTAAGGCTCTTTTAACAGGTAACGATAAGTTTACCTATATACCATTCTCTTGTACCAGCTAGATCCAGGGTGTTAAACTCACGGTGTCACGGCGGCATCATGTGATGTATTGGGACTTTTTTCCCCTTCGCTAAACTGGGCATGGGCGTGGCCAGCGCATGACACATCAGGCCCGTGGGCCGGGAGTTTGACAGTCCAGAGCTAGATGATGGAAATTCTTACTAATTTTTTAAAGTGCAGGAGGAATGAATCAACCATTAGGAGGGACTTCCAGAGAAAGAGAGCAGTAATGGAAACAGCCCACTTCTGAGGCCTTGTCAGATGATAGACAGACAGGAACTGGAGATAGTTAACCCCGTGAAACCTGGTTGGTTGGGTAAATAAATGCTACAGGATGTAGTCTCTCAAATAACCAGGTTCACAGGTATATGTGATCTTAAAGATGACAACTAGCACCTTATGTTGTACCCAGAAGCCCATTGGTAATCAGTGGAACATATTGGAGCATTTTGACGGTTCCCTGGTCTGCCACATTCTGTACCTAGCTGTAGCTTCCGGGACTTCTTCAGAAGCCACCCCATATAGAGCACATTACAATAGTCCAAAAGGGAAGTGATCATGAGCAAGGGTTCCCCATGAGAATGATTACAAATAATGGGCCAGATGGAATTGTGCAAAAGCCCTTCTAGCTATATCTACTACCTGCTGTGGGTCTAGGGGAACTCACAAATTGTGGACAATTTCTGAATGGGGAATATGACCCCATTCAGAGATAAAGAGATGTAGGCTCATAAACCTGAAGCCCCTCTGTTAAATCTGTTCCTTCCTATGCAGACCCTGATTATCACCAGGTACTGGGTCTACCACATTTCTTGTCCAACTGTGAAGTGGCAGAATTAACACTGCAGAGGACACTTTCCACTTCCATAGGATTCACAGACTCAAATTGTATCAGAAGAGAAAACCCTCGTCATCTTAATTTTGTCCGTTAAGTATAAGGTGGAAGACCATTCCCGCCATTTTCTGGAGAGCCTCATGGCAGGAAGAACAGCCACAAGCAGGTTAATCTCTCACTGAATTTTGCTAACAATCCTGATTGGAAAAAGTATCTAGAAATTTGTATGCAAACAACAGTGATATACCAAAGAGTGAAATTGAAGCAAACCCTGTAGAGGTTAATCTACAAGAAAGAAATTGAAAACAAAGAAGTCATCAATTCCGTGAAAAGGTTGCTTGTTAAAATGTCGGTACAGTTTCCTTATCTAGTCAGTTTGTGTGCCTTGTTTAAAATGTGTGTGTGTGTGTGTGTGTGTGTGTGTGTGTGTGTATGTTATTCAGCTTTGTTCGGGTATTTTCCCACGTCATTATAATTGTGCTTTTAAAGTTGTAGCAATGTTTCGGCAGAATCTCATCTGCCATCATCAGTCTTCTGTATTGTGTTCGTCTGTGAGTCAGACTTTTACAGTTGTTTCAGTTTTAAATTTGGAGCTAGCCTACTGCTGTGCCAGAATGGTTTTTTCTTCATCCTGATTGGTTGGGAGTCTTGGTCTGTGTTTATTGGTCTTGGAGTTTGCTGTGTTCTGCTTGATTGGTGTTTCTAATCTCTTCTGTCTGTTTTGTGGCTTTTTTTGTGTCTTGATTGGCTGGCAACATTGTGTTCCTGTATTGGAGGCTTTTAGTGCAGCTTGGCTCCGAGTAAATGGACGGCTATCATTTGCACTAAAAGCCTCCAATACAGGAGCACAATGTTGCCAGCCAATCAAAACACAAAAAAGCCACAAAACAGACAGAAGAGATTAGAAACACCAATCAAGCTTGCACACACGTTACAAAAAGCCTTGCAGGGTCTTGGGATATGCTGAAGGCTCGGAGTGGACCCGTTTTTGAGAAAGGCAGGAAAATAGGGAGGGGGAGGGAGCTTGAGGAATAGATGACAGGCAGGAAAATCCCCCCTCCTCATTTTCCTCCCATTTGCTAAAAACCCTCCATTCCGAACGCTGAAGTTTTAGAATGAGGCTTTTTGGTGAACAGGGAGGAAAATGGGGAGAGAGAATTTTCCTTCCTGCCATTCTTCCCTCAGTCTGTGCTAAGCTTGTAGAATAGCTCCTTTTGGCTGCTACGGAAGTCGGTGGCGAGGTGAGGGTGCACATGGGGCGCTCCTAACGGCTGCGATAGAAGCGGCCCAGTGGCAAGGCGAGGCTGCCCATGGGGCGCTCATTTGTGCTAGAAGTGGCTCAGTCACGAGGCGAGGTGTGGCATGTGGGGGTAAAATTAAGGCACCCCTCGAAAAGACGGCCTAGCCGTTTTTGGGGGGGTCAAAAAAAAAAAAAGGCCCAGCCTTATTTTCTGAGAAACACGTTAGTTTGCCCATAGTCTTTTTTTGATCAAGGCAGCATATATCTTGATACATGATTGATTGATTGACTGAGAGACAGACAGACATATCTGTGTACTTCAAACCATCTTTTTCAAATAGTTTGCCCATTGAGTTATTTTTTGATTGAGGCAGCATATATAAGGCTAGATGATTGATTGAAAGACAGGCAGGCAGGCAGGCACATATTCCCTGGAAAATCATAGGACAGGGAACCTAATCTAGATATAAAATTTTTGCCATTAGGTGGCTCTCCAATATTGCTTTACTCATGTAATCCTGCTGCATTACCTCTTTTTCATTTGTAGGTGGCAGAAGAAGAATATCTAATCCAGGAGTTGAGGAAAATTGAAGCCAGGAAGAAAGAGAGGGAGAAGCGGACACAAGATTTGCAAAAACTCATTACAGCTGCTGACACAACCACTGAACAAAGACGTGCAGAGCGCAAGGCACCTAAGAAAAAGCTACCACAGAAAAAAGAGACCGAGAAACCTGTAAACATCTTATACTTCCCTTGCTCATTTTCTTATGGTGCTATCTTACTATTTCAGTGCCAGGAATGGTTAGTTATCTGTATAAGTTTTGCTTGGGCAATTTACTTGGTTTCTTTTCAGATCTTAATATCTCTTGAAGCAGCCATACAGGAAGCTGCAGTATGGCCACAGTTAAGATGGAAGGAAAGGAACTGAAATTGTTAGGCTGGAAAGGAGATAAAGTGGGCTTAAGACAAACCCTCTCAAGGGGCGTTGTGAATACACAGTCAGGAAGTAGCTCTCCACTGTGTCATTCTGCACAACAAACATGGTCAGCGAGAAATGCCAATTTTAAGCTGTAAGTGTGAATACTAAAGTTGGATGGAGCAGTCTATTTACAGTTGCATTGGATCAATGATTTCAGTTTCTTCCTTTCCTGTTTTCAAAAATTAATATACAAATGCCTGTTTAACATTGAAATGTATTTTCTTTTAAAGTAAACACATATTTGTAAACACACAAAAATATTTACGTAAAATATTTTGCATAAATACAAACATTTCTTTTAAGTAAGTTAATATTGAAATATAGGCAAAGCACCCATTCATATAAATGAATAGTGGTTAAGCAGAGAGAAAAGAACATTATAGTAATTCAAAGAAGCTAAACATAACAAAAAATGGAAAAAAGCTAATTTAACAAAAGGAAAGAGAAAAAAAGATCCCTTTAATATCAATTTAATATTAATATAAAAGTAATTATTTTTAAACTTATTAAATTTAGACCATAATGTACTTTTAAAGATGATTTCCCTTAAAATGTGCACCACATAAGTAGGAACTCCAGAAGATAATTGTTCTTCTTAAATTTGTTTATAATATAAAATATAAAAAATACAAAAACAAATAATAAGAAAAATAGGGGAGGGAAAGGGGAAGGGAAGAGTGCAAAAAAGAAGGGAAAAAGAAAGAGAAGGCATTGCCTTCTGATTCCCTTTGGTGCAGTAAAATAAGAAAAGAAGACATCAAACCTCATTTTTTCACTAGCCATTTCTATATCAACAAATCTATCTAATTGGTAAAACCCAAAATCAAAGTTTCATTTTTTTCCACTTGAAGTACAAAGTCCAGAAGCAGTTTCCAAATAGAAACAAAAGTAATTGTGTTTTTTTCTTCAATCAAAGCAGTCAGTTCACTGCTAACTCCATCGACTTTTGCAGCCATTCTTCCATTGTGGGGATCGAAGTGTCCTTCCATTTTTGGGTATAATGTAATCTTACTGACATCAACATATATAATATCAAAGTTTCATTTCCCCCCCCCCCCAAGCCTTTTTCTGTTAACCCCCCCCCCCAAAAGTTTCTGGTTTTATCTTTATATTCACTTTAAGAATCTTCTGTATTAGAATATGAATCCTATTTCAATTTTTTTTTTGCTTTATCACATGCTCACTACAAATGATAAAAAGTCCCTTCTTTACATTTGCATTTCCAACATTTATTTGAAGCACCTTTAGACATTCTTGAGAACTTATTTGGTGTTAAATACCAACAATATATTATACCAACAATAATATAACAATAATATACCAACAATACCTTAAAAGTTTTCTTTTAAATTGTAATTTAGTGTAAATTTTAAATCTTTCATCCACATATTCCCATTGTTCAAGCTTTACATTATATCCAAAGTTCCTTGCCCATTGAATCATACATATTCCCTGTCCAAATTCAATTTCCATAACGTTTATAAACTTTAGCAATAATATGTTCATCACTACCACATAGTAGGCTACATAAGGAGAAGATAATTGTTCTTCTCGACTCGGAGGTACTAGAACAATTCACATTGGAATTTATAAAGTCTGAACTGCTAAATCATTTAACTTGTTGCCATGTAGAAAACTTACTGTTAGATGATTGGTAATAAAAACATTATCTCCTCTTAGTGCTGACAGTGAGTTTCTAAGATTTGGGATAAGTGAGAGGGTTAAAGAATAATTGAAGCAATCACCTATAGGTTACTGAGATATGTCGTGTACCCCCCCGTTGCAGAATAAAGTTTTCCTGAAAATTGCAAATGGTAGACAAGGCTGGATAACTTAAGGATAACTTAAGGAGCAACTTTGACCTTGAGTGCCTGTTTAATAACACTTTTTACCTGTCACTTTTGAATATCTCACTTATAATCTTAAGATGGTGGTTAGATTTTTTTTAATGGTGTGGAATGGCAATGTGCCATATAATTTGGAAAAGTTTCTGCCTTTCAGTGATTAAGATGGGATCTCAGCAAAATTTCATATGAAAATGCATCATTTTGTGTGAGCAGTTCTGGCTTTGTATCTGTCAATCCACCGAGTAGACTAAGATTTAAGGTCTCGAAAATTTGAAATCTGTGGCTTCAGTTTCCCTTAGCTTCTATCCCTGACGAGACAGGCTATTCTATTCTAGTATATGTGGAATTAAGTAGCTATTCAACTTGCTTTAGGTATATCTGGCTGTGTTGCCTGGGGTCCTTATGCCTGCATGGAAGTAAACACCTCAGGTTTCCTAAAGGCAGTTTATGTTGTGGCAAAAGTGCTGTTTCAACCATGACGGAGTCCATTAGGAGGAAACTGCTTTTTTTTTGTAAAAAAAAATGCATTTTAACTAACAATTTAAATTGAGAGCTGTATCAGCATCATCTTAACAAAGGGAAGTCATTTACTAAAGAGTCAATTGAGGTTGAAGCTTTTACAGCTCATGCTCCGCATGTGAGGTACAGCAACTTGTTTAATTGCTCTGATGTGGCAAAAGCAGGTTGTGCAGTGGGGAGGAAGTGAACTTGCCCTATATTTTTGTTATGGATTCAGTGGAAAATTGTTAAGGGAATTGTTAAAGGGAATCTCTATTCTGAGATTATCTCAAGCCTAATAAATCAGGGCCTTTAAAAAAGAAGTTTAGTTGCCTCCACAGTGCTTAGTATACAGGATCTAACATGCATGGCAGGTGATTTGATATTTCCTGTTATTTTTATAATACATTGTTTTGGCTTTGACTGCAAATTGTCCTGGGTGTGAAGTTTAATTAATTAACACCAATATATTTTGATCTATTGAGACTGGTTCAGATATTAAAAGGGTTAGTTTAGCTACTCTGTAGTATTCAGCAAGGACAAAATAACTGGTTTGCTGTTACTGAGGCAGGTTTTCTGCATAGAAAATGAGATTTTCCTTTGCTTGCATCTTGGGTAAATTAAATTTGATGTTTTTAGTAACATAGGTTTTGTTCAGATACAAGTAAAAATGTCTGAACATGATATCAGGAAATTCTCTTGAGTGTTTCATTCCCTTGACCGTTGGATTTGTCTTCAGTGGATACTTGATTTTGGCAAATATATGAATCAACTCATGCATAGTTCACAAACCTTATAAGACAGGTGTTCAGGAGGAGTAAAAGAAAGATCAAGAGCTGGTAATCATTTTTCTTCTGAAGAAACATATATGAAGTTTCTATATCATCCCCATTTTCTAGTGAGCTATGAGGGTTTGTAGAGGCGGGGATTGTCTTTCTTTTTCCAATAAGCAAGTCTGTGGTATTTGATAGTTTTTCTGTCCTTACTACCATTGAGCTGTTTCTAAGTAAAAAAAATAGGATCACCCAGCTGTGAAGAAAGTGGATAAGATCCATCAACCCATTGAAACAGCACCCTATTTTTCTTTCTGATTCCATTCAGATGTAATAGGGTTTTTCCAAAGAAGTCATCATTTGTTAAAATGTGAATGAGCAATGTGATTGTGCACTCTTAACTTGTGCCCTTTTTGCAGTAGAAGCTCTGCAGTTCCTTTTCGATCACTTCTGAAGTTCAAAATAAAGGTTTACGTTTTGGCAATAGATTTAGTTTCTAGTTCTGGTTCTAATTTCTAATTCTGATCAATAGAAGAAATTAAATGGCATAGTTTCCACATGCAGAAATTAAAGAGAAACTATGGCTTAAGTATCCTAGTCCTGGCATAGGCTGAAGAAAAAGGTTTGCAAAGACAAGAGTATTTACCATCATTAATGTCAGAGTAGAATCACTGTAATGTTAAAAATGATAAAAGCCAATAGCAGATACATTTATGTGGGAATAAGCACTAATATACCTAAGTATGATACTTGATCCAAGTCCAAGAGTTCACATCTTTTGAGCTTTAAGGAATATTTCTCTTTGTTTTTATGCATCATAGGGAATACTTCTATTAGTTTTATGCATCATTCTCACTTTTATTTCTAATGTTTTTGAGGAAAGTTTATTAAATACTTAAGGAATGAATGTCTAACACCACTATCAAATTCAGAAGCAAATATAGTGTAGACATGTAGTTGGAACTACATAAATGCCATGTATCACTATTTGAATGAACTGAATATAATCAGATTTCATTGTTAAATCCCATTCTCACTTGCTGTGAATAATTTTAAATAAGTACTATGTATAGACACTATATTTGTAGTAGATACTGTAGATTGCTGTTAGCTTAATGTACTAAAGCCATAGGCTTACAATTTCAATTACATTTAGAATAGTAGATAGGCTTAGAAGCAGTATGGTAAATGAATTGTTCTCATTTCCTATCCATCACATCCTTCCAATTATTCTCGGAAGGCTTTTCATCTGATTTCAAATTTATCTCTGACAAGTGTTTTTCTAGCAAGAAACTGGTTAGGTTTTTGCCTTACCTTCACATTTTACCTTGAATTGTCTTTCTGTTTTAGGCTGTCCCTGAAACAGCTGGCATCAAGTTTCCAGATTTCAAGTCTGCTGGTGTTACGCTGAGGAGTCAAAGGGTAAGTTAATGTGCTAGTTTGGGGGATCTAAAGGGATATCTGCTTCCCCCTTTTCATTTCTTGTTCCTTTCCTGTTAATGATCTAGTGGAGCATGAACTGCAATAGTGTAGTAAAATAGCTTCAACTAATACTTTGGAGTATAGACTCTGTAGCTTTTGAACCTGTCTCTTTCCTCTTAAGTGCAGGTAGGTAATTTGGGGTGTGTGTGTGTCAAGATATGTAATTTAGTCTTTAAAAAAAAATTATTGGAGGGCTACTTCATGACATAAGCAGGGACTTCTTAAGTGATGAAATGGATGTATTAAATCTTAGGGGCTTTCAATAAACTTTCTGTGCTCCCCCTCCCATTGCAGGCTGTTGCACTGTAGACAATCAGTAGTACAGGTAATCCTCAACAAGTGTAATGAAGCCCCGCCATTATAGTCGTAAGTTGCACAGCTGTCAAGTGAAGCACCCATGTGATCACCTCAATGAATGAACCCCCATCCATTTCTCCCCAGTGTGGTCATTCAGTAGAGCAAGGGTGCCCCAGGGACCCCAGGAAGCCTCTCAGGCCCTTCCCAAGCCTCTCAAGGCATCTCCCACTCATTCCCTGAGGAAATCTGCTCCGCTTCTCACCCTTTGGAGTCGCCTTAGGCTTTGGGCCTGCTTCGCTACTCAACTGGATCCCAGATGCTCTTTCCCATCCCCAGTTTTGTTGTATATCTGGAAGTTCTGCAGATCGCATTAGGGCAGAAGAAAAAACTGCTCCATCCTTAGGCCACGTACTCTGGTCTTGGAAGTGAGCACCGTTTTTGAAGTGGCGTAACCCCTCCCCTTAACTTCACAGTAGAGTTATTGAGGGTATAGTTTTGTTGTGGGCTATGTTTCCAAAGTTTTAAGGGTGGTTGTGTATGATTTCTTTTCAAACGTGAGGTTGGGAAATATATGAAATGTTATATTTAAAATGAGATTAATCAGAGTAATCCTTAATTATGATTTGGAATGCTGTTTGTGTGTGGCCAGTTTTTTTGGCTGTTGCAGAAGGTAAGAGGCTCTTGTTCAGTTTTGGATTCAGACTCATAAGAATTCACAACAAATCATGGGTTGCTATGAATATGAATATTAGACTCAACTTTTATTTTTTAATATTTTTTTATTTTAATCGGAAAGTTAAAATTCAAGCTCCAAAAAAAGGAAATTTTACAAAAATAAAACACTATTAGACAAAAACATTTAAAGAAAAAAAGAAACTGCATTAAAAATAAATTAAAAACGTGTGAGCTAAGAAGGATCATCCTAATATATTTGGGTGTTCAGCTTTCCCTTCTCACAATGGGTATTCAACAAAAGGTAGCAAGTGACATTGCATGTGTCACAACATGAACTGCCTACCGCATATGCAGCCTAATTTAGATGCCATGGGTTCTGTTTGGTGCTTTCACCTCTCATGATCAGCGTATAAGGTGGCAAGGATTTTGATTAGTCCAAGTGGGCAATCTAAATTCAAGTTTATGGTGATCTTAGGACATTTACTAATAAGGTTCTCCTTGTGAACCGAAATTAAAACTAACGTTTTATTATCCTAATTAGGTTACAACCTTCTGGTAAATTCATTTACAGTAAACTTTGGGCCAGCAGACTTGCTTAAAATTTTGAAACAATATTGTTGGTTTTCTAACAGAAGAGTTTCTATGAAGTGAGGAAATCCACATATCTTAAAGTTGCCAGTGTTGCCAATATATTTAGTGGTTGTTTATAGTGAGGACAAAGATTCCGAGTCCTTAAATCAAACAACATTGTCTTAGGCTTTCTCAAGCTGGTTTCCTGCACAAGTTTTAGATTGTTTCTGTCATGTCCAGCCAGTTTATCTAGTATACTTGGATAATTCAGCACGCAGACTTATTGGACTCCATTTCTGCTAACATATCACCTATATCAGCCTCTTTCTATTTCTGTTCCTTATTGGCAAGATTTGAAAATAATGTAGAGTGGGACATACACAAAGGTAAATAGATGCGGGAGCTCTGGAGACCTATTGGGGGGGATTTGTTAATTGCCTGGATTAAATTGTCTTTTAAGTTCATATTAAGTCTTTCCATTTAATGCAGTAGAGAAATCAACATGAGGTGTATATCTTAAGAAGAAGGATCATTTTTAAAAAAGTGCCTAGGCTTCCTGCCCCTCCATCGTGTTTTTTTTTTTTTACTTTTTGGAGTTATGATAATCATAGAAATTAATAGGTGTGTTAACTATAAAAAGCGTATTTTGGCTGTTCTTTGTGAGCAAAGAACTACAGTGCACTCTAGCAGAACACTCCCCTGGTAAGATCAGCACAGATTCTGAAATATTTTGTATGTGCAGAACATAATTCAAGTTTGGTGAAACTACACCTATCAAAGATCTTCTGTTTTAAAGAAATGCATGCTACTCTCACAGTGATATATACTACATCAGTGACAGTGATATATATTATAATGCATACATTTTATTTGTGGTGGAAATGTGCTGCCTAGAGAAGTTTGAAGAGATATAAGGACTTTAGAGCTGCAGCCAATTTCTAATTAAAATTTAGCTGCTGCCTTTGATTATGAAAGGACACAATTTGGGTGCTATTCCTGTGTAGAGTACTTACATTTTCCCTTTAGGCACTTTGTCTTTTATTTCTCTTTGCAATAGTAAGATATAGCATCCATCTTTTAAAATATTTTGTAGAACTTTCAGGTGCCTGTATGCCAACTTTGGACATTTTTTTTTAAATGCAAAATTTACTTAAAATCTTAAAAGTTAGAGATACTTTTTAAATGATGTTCCTTTGATTTTTATTAGTATCAGTTCAAACTAGAATGAAAACATGCAATTGCTTCATGTTAGGAATTCATAAATTTATTTTTTTATTTTTTATCTTTTTATTAAGACATGATTTCCCCTGTGTAAATGTATATTGTCAGGCGATTCTCCGTCACCCTTCTGAAGAGACTAACAGAGAAAAAGTATGTTTGTGGGGGATGTTTCTGTTTCAATGTTACATCATTGGATCTCTTGTATGACATGCGACAAGAGGGCTGGATTCTAACCTGCTAAGTCTTTGATAATGAGGGAAAAACAGTAGGATGAAAGAAAGTTCTTAGCAGTCTCAGATCCATGGAGCACACTAGGGAATGCTGAGGTACAATTGTTTAGTTCACAGCTGGACATCTTCCACCAAGAAAGGCTTCCAGCTGGTAGTTTTACTTGTTACCTGCTAACTAGGATCTTGTAGACAAATTGGTGGTCAGACCAATTAAAAAGAAATGGGGGAAGAGGGAGCTTTCATTCCCATTGATTCACACATCCAGCCTCACTGGCTTTTAAATATTTACCAGCCAACCGAGCACTTTTTTAGCATTGATTAATGAGGTACAATCCACTGTGGTGCTTTCTTTCTCTGAGCACAGGGAAGGAGGGTGCGGGCTAGGACTATTCAAGATAAAAGTATGTTTCTGTCTGTGTTAGGCACAAGGGAAGGGGGTCACTTGAATATATGTATGTCTTAAATGTACCTTTTCAATATTTGACTTGTCCCTCTATGAAATGGCTCGATGGGATGCCTGTTTGCTCTTCTGCAGAGGCTCTTTGTCAGGTGCCTTCCCTCTGACATTAACGCAGAGCCGGACCTCATCAGCTGCTAACGGGGGAAACATCTGTCTTTCTTCGCTTGATCAATACTGTCCCTTCAGAAGCTGAGCCTTCAAAGCAGTTACATAAAATACCAGTAATATTTATTTGGATTTGATACATTTAATTACTTGGGACAATTAATAATTTATCTCTGTAGTATTGATGGCGCTGCAAGGCATTTTGGTGAGATAAGCTAATGGTAATCAGGACCTCTTTATTAGCTGGAAATTGCGCATTGTTATGGGGGGAAACTTCTGATAGATAGAAAGATGAAGGGTTTTAGTTGTTTTTACTTCATGTTCGTGTAGTAACTGTAGAGAGAGCCAGAGTCTACTACATTAAGGAAGCTAGGGGGATGGAGCATGTGGCTAGATGCGGGGGTATGCATACAAGTAGTAAGCCCTGATACAATCCAATAAAAGGGGAACTGGTTCCAGTTCATCAGCAATAATGCAGTGGCCCTCTAGCCTTTTAGTAAAGGTGACCTATTATGAATTTTTATGTGATAGAGGGACATGCATGGAAAAGCTGATGTCAAATGTTGTATTGGCAAGCTTTAATTTCTTTATAGGTATAATTTAATATGCTCATATATTCATATATTTTAAATATTAAAGCCAATTATAAATAATTATAATTATTTTTAAAAAGCTATTTTCTGATAGATTAAATTACAGCCAGTGAATACATTTAGTATTATAATTATTTTTAATTACTATAAATTTTATCCAACTATATATGCCTTTGAGCACAGAGTTGTTATTCATCTTAAAAAATAAATTGAATTCATTTTAACCTTACAGTAACATAGGTAAGCTTTATAAAATGAAGGCAATGTCTCTGGTTCCTGAGGTTTTTTTTTTAGAGAGGAACTGTGGTAGTTAATTTTCTTGTTCTTATTTCTTCTACTTGGTAGTACACCATAAATCATAGCTTTTTCTCTTTTCTGTTAGCATCATTATGCAGTCAGGATGCATATTTTAGCTGCAATCCTGTGTGTACTTATTCGGATTTAAATATTAGTCTTAATGGGGCTAGCTTTTTACCACACTTATATAGACTTCCATTGTTAACATTACAATGGAGATATTTCAGAGGTCATTCTCTTAATTTTAAGCACTGTACCATCTTTTACTTTTTATTTTTCACTTATATTCTTTTATTTGGAGGATTTTATGATAGTATCATCACTATAATCATACAGTAGATTTTTTTTAAGTTATACAAGCAACTGAGATTTATTAGATTGCAGTGGGGTATAACTTTAATAAATAAATTTATCAAGCCCTAAAGTTCTGCCTTGTGGAGTCTATCAGTGCTTTTGCCTCTCTCTGCGTTTATCTACCTTCTACATGAAACC